AAAAAAAAAAAAAAAGGAAAGGAAAAAACCTAAATTCATGCAATAAAGAATGGAAAAGGTGAAATCACTACAGATCCTAGAGAAATTCAGAAAATCATCAATACCCACTTCCAAAATCTTTACTCTCACAGGATGGAAAACACAGAGGAAATGGACAGTTTCCTAGAGACATATGAAATGCCTAAGCTGAGCCAAGAAGATATACAAACTCTGAATAATCCAATAACAAGAAACAAAATTGAAAATCTAATAAAAAACCTACCAACAAAGAAAAGCCCAGGTCCTGGTGATTCACAGAAGAATTCTACAAGAAATTTAGAGAAGATTTAAGGCCATTTTTTTTTTTTTTTCCACAAACTCTTCAATGGAATTGAAAGGGAAGCAATTTTCCCAAACTCATTCCTGGCAGTAAGTATTACTCTGATTCCAAAACCAGAGAAAGATCCAACAAAAAATGAGAACTACAGCCAATCTCTCCAATGAATATAGATGCAAAAATCCTCAATAAAATACTAGCTAAAATAAAATAAAATACTAGCAAACAGAATGCAGCAAATCATCAAGAAGATTACACATCATGACCAAGTGGGATTCATTCCAGGAATATAAGCATCATTTCACACATACAAATCCATAAATGTAATACACCACATCAACAGAACCAAGAACAAAAAACCACATGATCATCTCAATAGATGCAGAAAAAGATTTGCACAAAATCCAACACTCATTTATGATAAAAACCCTACAGAGAATTGGATGAGATAGTCTGTATCTCAACCTGATTAAAACCATCTATGAAAAACCAATAGCCAACATCATACAAAATGGGCAAAAACTGAAGGCCTTTACTTTAAAGTCAGGAACAATACAAGGATGTCCACTATCTCCACTCCTACTGAAAATAGTTCTGGAAACATTAGCCAGAGCAATCAGACAAGAGAGAAAAAGAAAATGAATAGGGATTGGAAAAGAAGTGAAATTATCATTATTTGCAGATGATATGATAGTCTACAGAGAAGACCCCAAAAACTCACCAAAAGTCTTGTAGATTTAATCACCAAATTCAGCAATGTAGCAGAATCCAAAGTCAACACCCACAAATCAGCAGCATTTTTGTACACAAAGAATGAACACACTGAGAGAGAAATTAGGGAAACCATGCCTTTCACAATAACATTCAAAAAAACGAAATACTTAGGAACTGATCTCACAAAAGGACACAAAAGATTTATACAATGAAAACTGTGGTACTCTGAGAAAAGAAATTGAAGAGGATTTGAGAAAATAGAAAAATATCCCATGCTCCTCAAAAGGAAAAACCAATGTTGTGATAATGGCCATACTTCCAAAATTGTTATACAGATTCAATATAATCCTGATTAAAATACCATTAGTATACATCACAGAGCTAGAAAAAAACTTTCCTCAAATTCTTCTGGGAACCAGAAGAGACCCACAATATCAAAAGAACTCCTAGGAAACAAAGAAAAAGCAGGAGAAATCACAATCCTTGGCCTAAAATTATACTATAAAGTTACTGTTATAAAATCAGCATGCTACTGGCATAGAAACAGACCTGAGAATCAACAGATCAGAAGATGCAGACACAAGTGCAAACACACTCTACCACTTTAACTTTGGTAAACAGGACAAACAGGCTCACTGGAAGAAAGAAAGACTCTTTAATCAATGATGCTGGAAAGATTGGCTTTCCACATGCTGAAGGCTAAAACATAAACAATTTTAAAAATTCAGACCCCCCCCTCCAAATTCAGACCCAATCCAAAAATGGACATCTGCAGTGAATATACACTTCTCAGAGGAAGAAATACAAATGGCAAGTAAATATATGAAAAATGTTCAACATCATTGGTCATTCAAGAAATGCAAATTAAAACAACACTGAGATTCCATCTCACCTCAGAAAGAATGGCTAACATCAAGAAGTCAGCCAGTAACAAATGCTGGACAGGCTGTGGAGAAAAAAGAACCCTTCTGCACTGGTGGTGGGAGTGCAGGCTGGGTACAACCACTATAGAAATCAGTACAGATTCTTCCAAAATCTAGGATTAGAGATTCCAGCCAAGCCAGCTATTCCCCTCCTGGGTATTTTTCCCGAAGAACTAAAAACCTTATACCACAGTGATATATGTGCACCAATGTTTATAGCAAGTGTAATTTGTCACACCTAAATCCTAGTAATAACCCAGATGCCCATCAACTGAAGAATGGATAAAGAAGATGTGGTATTTTTACACAGTGGAGTATTATTCAGCTATAAAATGGGATAAATTTGAGTCTTTTGTCAGAAAATGGATGCAACTAGAGAACATAGTCTTAAGTGAAATCAGACCTGCACATACAAACATCATATTGTCTCCTGAGTATGAGAACCTGAAAGATAAAAATGGAATCTGAAGGGTACAACAGATATTGAGAAAAGGGAATGAACTTATTCAAAAGGAAAGAGTTACTGAGTTGAAGAGAAGGACAGGAGAAGGAGTGGAGAAAAGAGATTTATCTATGTATGTAAGCAGGAATGGTTTGGACAACTATATTGTAGATTTTTGCTATCTATGGAAAGAAGCAGTTAATGCTTTGATTTGTTTCATCTCCTTTTTTCAATTTTTTGTACTTTTTCTCTTCTTAATCTCTTATGTATTTCTTTGTTTTTTCTTTCTTCTTCCAATTTTACCTGCATATATCTGATAATATGAATAACTGGTTGGAAGACAACACTGTGAAATTCATATTACTATGTTAAGTGAAATTCTGTATCACTTGTAATTTTTTGTTTTAATTCTAAATTTGTGTTCTCTTTAAAAATAAAAAAAATTAAGAACAAAACAAAAATGTAAATCAAATTACAACTGAGAAGGATACAAGAATATATTCAAGGAAAAGTCGTTTTAAGAAAAAAAAGATGAGGGGCTGGGGAGACAGCTCAGTAGAATAAGTGCTTGCCTGGCAAATGCAAGGTCCTGAGTTCTATCCCCAGTACTGCCAAAAAAAGTGATTCTAAGAAAAAAAGATGAGACTAAGCACCATAGTGTATCTTAGCTATTTTTTAATTATTCAAAAGTAATTGTAGCATTAGTGGTTAATACTGCACATATCCAATCTATTAGATCTATGATTCTGTCAAATTAAATAGAAAAATCATGGCTAAGTCAGGTAGACTCAACTAGACCATGATTCTCTGTGATCTCAGAAAAAAACCCTAATCTCACCACCAAGTCCTGTGATCTGATGTTATTTCTTAGAATTTCAGCTGTGTAACAGGCCTATTTCTTTTTAGAAACACACACTTTTCTTTGAAAGCTAAAATCACTAACTCAAATAATGCACTGCCAGCAAATGTCAGATGTAACTTTCAACACTAACACTTAAGAACACTTCAAATAATCAATCTCAGTATTCTTGACAGCATAAAGAATTGAACATAAGCATTCTGCTTACCATTCTCAACATGGGCAAGCCTGTGCATGAGAGGCAGCCAGACAAGGCACTGTGGGGGAGGATCAGCCATCATTGTGTCTAAGAACATATTCAGCATTATCTTTTTCTGTAAACAGAAGAAAAACAAACATCTTTTAAGTATCTCTGAACTTCAATATTAAGTTAATTTAGAACTCTTTCAAATAAGTATGAATGAACTGTATGTGAAAAATTTTCAGCAAAATAATATTTTACATTATCACAATCACGACTATATATTACATATTACTACATAAAAATGCATTTTCATACATGGTATTTCATTTGCATCTTAGGACTACTGTATAAAGTAAGCAAGTTAAATATTTGTGCCTTCATCTGACAGATGTAAAAACAAAGGAGCAAAGCATTTCCATGACTGGTAATGGACCTATCCAATTCAGACACAGAGCCAGGACTAGAATTCTGAAATCTGATTGCCTAAATACTTCTAGAATTCCCAACAGTGCCTGACACATAATGGGCACTTAATTAGTTGTTGTTGAATAAATAATAAAGCAAAGATCAAATACTCTTATTAGACATTGTTTAACAACTCATTTACAGAGGGGAAAATAGAAGCTTGTGAAACCCTGCATTTTTTTGTTTTCTTTTCAAACAGAAAATTTTCATTTTATGTGAAACACTGACATGATTGTGTCCTCTACAAAGATAGTAGTTACATGATGTAGACAGAACAAATTTTCAATAATATTTCAAATTAATAAATTTTCTGCAGCATTGGGGCATCAGACATCCCCATAGGGATTATGGGTACTCTAGTGTCAGAAAATATATAGGCTTCAAAGAAGCCAAAAGAGAAAAAACACAGAATTGCTAGTAGTTAAGAATACAACAAAACCTGGGAGATGGCTCAGTGGAATAAGCATTTCCCTGGCAAGCGCAAGGGGCTGAGTTCAATCCTCGGGGGTTGGGGGGGAGAGGGGAGAATACAACAAATAGTCTCAAGAATCACAGATATATAAGTATATAGAACTGCCTTTGTATCCTTGACTCCTGTATTCATTTTTCTTTTTTGTATTTTGGTTAGGAGGGTCTTACAACCATAAAGGATTTCACTAGAAACATTATTTTAAAATCAAGTCCCAGGGCCGGGGAGATGGATCAGTAGAATAAGTCCTTGTCTGGCAAGCACAAGGGTCTGAATTCAATCCCTGGTTCTACCAAAAAATAAATAAATAAATAAAATAAAGTCCCAAGCCTGAGTGGGATGAGGGCAAAGCAACAGAACTGCCAATAGAACTTGAACCCTCTAGCCTTGCCCAATTTAATAGGAAAGGAGCAGTGGGGTACAAAAGACACCTTCCCCCACCAGAGATGTTTCCTCCCAAACTCTATTTTTCAACATATCTACCTGTTACTAAAGTTCAAGTTCCTAATGATCCAAGACAAGTAATATGTCTGAATTTATGTTGATTTTAGCTTCTCTTATGTGCAAGGGGATTGATTGATTGATTGATTGATTGATTGATTGGATTGATTGATTTTTTGGTACCAGGGATCAAACTCAGGACCTTGCACTTGCCAAGCAGGTATTTAAGCCACTGAGCTATCTCCCCAGCCCAAGGGGCTGCATTTGCAGCAGCTATCACTCAGGTTATTCATGCACAGTCTAGTGAAAAAAGAATAAAAGAAGGCTGTTTTCATTGTGGGGATGAGGGGCACTCTGGCCCAAACTGTTCTGTTGCACCTGTAAAGGCAGCACAGCCATTATCTGTCACTTCAAAAACTTTCCAATCTTTGCACAGTATCAACAAGTGTATTATGGGGGAAATGAGTGCAAATCTAAAACTAATGTGAGGGCTGGAAAGATAGCTCAGCGGACTAAGCGCAGGGACCAGAGTTTGATCCCCAACACCATATGCTGCTCCCAGGCATCTGGAGCCAGCCACTGAGTCTGGGCATGGTACCAGCGCTGGAGGATGAAAACAGGAAGATCACTGAGCCTGAGCTATGGGGCCAGCCACATAGCTCAGCAGACGAAAGCGCCTGCTTAAGCAGAATGCTGTGGCCAGGGTTCAATCCTCAGCATGCCATGCCAGTCCCACCCCCTTGGGGCTTACTGAAAAGCAATTGAGACTGGGTATGGTGGTACATGCCTATAATCCCAGCAGACTGAAACAGGAGAATCACAGTCTGATCTATGTAGTGAGATCCTGTAGATACTGCACACCCTGTACCAAACACACACACACACACACACACACACACACACAGTCTGAGCTGTGTAGTGAAATGCTGTACCAAATATATGAAAATAAATGAATAAAATTAATGCAAAAAGTCAGCCTTTTTTGGGAAACTCACTGGGGCCTGCCTCCGCCATCAAACAACAGGAAAAGACAATGGGAAGGTCCTGGGCTCTGGTCCTAAGAGGATTCAGTTGGATTTTCCCAGCTACCCACATCTCTATGGTGTAGTTGCTTCACCTGTTGCTACCTGCACGTACCACCAACTACAAGCCTGTGCACCTGGGACCAAATAGGAAGGATGTGACTGTGGTGAGCCCTGCTACTCACTGTGCCCTGTCTACTGCTTTCTGGCTGGCCACACCCATTATACAATCAGTCTGCCATGGCTACAGAGGTGCCAACTAATGCTTAAGGAGGGGGAGCACATGTAATACAGCCTATTCCCAAAAGTAAAGCAAGACAATTGAGCCACTGGTGGCAGCTCACCCAGCCCTGAGGTGATAAAATAAAAGCTGCAGTCAGAGGTTTGGCCTGGTGTCACTAATTTGGGCTATACGGGGGAAATCAAGGTTATTACTCAAAACATTACTTAATCACTCCAGACTTTCGTTCAATTGGTCATTTTTCTCTTGACAAAAATTAATAAAAATTATAAATAAGAAAAAGGGATGTAAGGACTTTGGGTCTTTTGACGTCTAATGGGTTCAACAGGTGAAACAAAATCACCCTAAGATAAAATTGTCTATTAAAGGAAAAATATTCAAAGGTCTTTAGACACAGATGCAGATGTTTCAATTATTGCCCAACACCACCAGTAAAACATGGCCTCTGGATGTGGTCACTACAGACCTACAGGGGCTGGGCAATGTTTCTTACCCTAGCAAAAGGGTTACATTGCTAACCTAAAAGGATGCAAGCTATGACTTCATGTTTGAGTCACGTTATCCAACAAACACTAGAAAAGACACTGTAATGAACTACTGTTTATTACTGACACTTGCCAAGGAGCTAAGTGGGAAAAGATTCCCTCTCACATCAACCTGATCCTGTAATTGAAGGCCATCTTATGGATGGCCTAGATACACATTATATGCATTTGGAGTTTTTAAGAGAAAAGCAATCCAGCTAGCAAAGCTAATATAAATAATGCTTTTCAAGTACATCCCAAGAGTCTTTGTGTGTCTCCTCCTGGATACTGCACTGATTTTTTGAAGAAGGATCCTAAAAATGTCCCGATAACAAGATTTCTTTGAAAGTATATAGAAAGTGGAAATTACAGTAGAGGCTATTAGTTTATGCCAGGATTTAGAAATTACAGAAGGCAGTCACATTGTCCTGATAATTGCTGATATGGTCTGAAATTCTAAAAATCCCAAACCAACTACCATGTTTAGTCACAAGAATATGGAACTAAATGTGTACAAAGATGCTGTAAAAATGGATCATATAAGCTATGAGGTAACCATGAAAAAATTTTTTCACAGGTATTATCTGGGAGGATCCCACATAGTACTCCTAGGTTAAAACTGTCTTCAGATGATAGAAGCAATATTCTTATTTATATGACAGAACATGGTAGAAATGGTTTCTTGAAATTCTCAGATTCTGAAAAAACTACCAACATAAAACTTGCAGACACTTTTAAACAGTAATTATCCCAAACTCTTCAGATAAACTTTAAATGATCCTCAGGCTTTATGGGGTTATACTAATTGGCTCTGCCCAGCTTTTAGGCTAATTTCTCTGGTGTCATTATCCTTCAGACAAGTTAATTTGTTAGTTTTCACAGATGGATTATCTTAAGGCAAGGAAGGCTAAAGACGGCTTCCTCTTCCAGAATACAGGCATGTTATGTTCCGTTTTATTGGTCATATATGTTCACATTCCATATTGCCTCTCATGGAGGGAAATACTGCTATAGACAAAATGCTGGCTACTATCACTGTTACTCACTCCAGTACCATTCGACAGCCTACTGAGTGGCCGGGGAGATAGCTCAGTTGAGTAAGCACTTGCCTGGCAAGCCCAAGGACCTGAGTTCAATCCCCAGTTCTGCAAAAAAAAAAAAAAAAAAAAAAAAAAAAAAAAAACCAAAAAAAAAAAAAAACAGCCTTCTGTTTCTCATGCCTCCTTTCATCAAAATGCTTCTGCCTTGTGCAGTTCCATTTGACCCAGGAACAGGCCCAAGAAATTGTTAAATGATGTTCCTCATATATAATATACTTCCCTCACCTTCTATAGGGGTCAATCCCTAAGGGTTACATCTTAATCACCTTTGGTAGGTAAATGTCACTCACATTCCTCAATTTGGTTCTTTATGCTAGATCCACCTTTCAGGGGACACTTTTTCAGGATTCATTTTTGCTTCCACCCACACCATGAAGGGTTAAACGTGTCACTGCTCATTGTTTAAATGGCTTTAGTGCCCTTGGCTGCCCATAGGCACTTAAGACTGACAATGGCCCAGCATATACAAGTGCCACTTTCCAAAAGTTTTGTAACACTTTTAGTATTTCCCTTATCACAGGGATTCCTTATAACCCTCTAGGTTAAGGAACTGCTGAACATGTTCAGTATATGATCAATCTTCAATTAGAAAAACAAAAGGGAGAACTTTTCTCTACAAAATTTATACCTCATATAGACGTGAGACTTGGCAGTATGTACTATTAGCTTTAAATTCTACAAAAGATGTAAATACAGCATCAAAAAAATAATTCCATCAGGTAAAAGGGTGCTTTGGAGAAATTTCCATATTGGACAATGGAAGACTCAGTCTGCTGCTTACCTGGGGTAGAGGGTATGCTTGTATTTTTCCAGAGAATTCTGAGCAACCTATTTGGATACAAGAATGCTGTCAGGTTGTATCATAAGC